TCCTGCTCAAAAAGGGTCACTTTAAAACAGAGAGAAAGCAGGGATAGGATGCCATGCTCCTTAGTGTCCTCTGTCTGCAGCAGAAGGAATCTGGAGGCATCTCCTGCCCAGAGTCCCCACCTTCTAAAATCTTACAACTTTATCAGGTGACTGTGTTTGTAAGTACTCATTTTTTTGTTTTTAAATTGTGAGTCATAGTTCTGCTTTGAGGCTTAGAAGAGTGAACACAACCAAAGCGGATAAAGTGTTGGCAGGACCTAGTATTATTTCCTGACATCCACAGAAAAACATAGACAAGAGATCCCACCAAACCAGCTCCCACCAACCACTGGGCTTCAACGAATTGTAGTCACCAATTAAGAAAGATGGAGGCACGAAGTCCTGAACTTTGTCCAAGATATCCGTGCTCCAAAGAGTGTCCTGTGCCCACCCTTGTGTGATATGGGACCGAGCTGCCTGTGGGTCAGATCCCTTCCTATGCAGGGCATTTATTAGCTTGCCTCTAGGTTCAGTGTACGTAGTGTTAAATAATACATGGAAACATTTTATTATGTGGTTGGTGCAGGTAAGTGGGATCTCACTTTCTCAGTAGAGCATGTTTTAAATTGTGAGTCATCTCCGCCTTTTACCAGTCTGAGAACATACATGTTTTCTCAAGTCCTCTTATTATGTAGAAAGTAAAACAATAGCTTGTTGTTGAAGGACTAGAGGAAGGTGATTTTCATAAATTTCTGAACACATCCTTCTTACCTGCTCCACAGATTTGACTTCTGAGTTATTCAAAACAAGAGCACATTGAAATTAATTATGAGCCTAAAAATATTTTCAGATATTTGCCAAAATATAATCAGTTCTGATTTCATTCCAATTAAGATTTTCATTACCTATTTTTTCTAAAGTGACATAATTAAGGGAAGAAAAACCTTTTCCTCATATGTAGACTCAGTCAAAGATGGCTCAGTGTTTGTCATTGTTTTGACATATTATTGCACCAAATTTTTATCTTTGTGCAATTAAATCTAGTGGAATACAAGCTTTTAGTATTTTCCATAAAGCACATGTTCTTATTAATAATCTTGTGAATAAGTTGGAGTCTTCCTGAATGTGACAGTCCAAGGAAGGGCAGACGGGAGAGTTAGTCCCACAACAAGCCCAGCCATCAACCAGCTGAAGTCAAGGGACAAGGAAAGGCTTCCCCACCAAACACAGCTAATCACATATCAGGAATGTAAGGGTGATCTTAACACCAGTGGTCAAGGTTTTATTTTATTTTATATAAGAAAGATATGCATAAACTGTTCATGTTGAGACATAATACATGCTACCCATCCTCCTTGCAGTAACAAAACTCTTACAGACTTTCTATCTTGAAGTTTTTTATAAGTTTATTTATTTGTTCCAAGAGAGAGAGAAGCACCCTCCACAGGGTCTCATGCCATGATCCATCCCAGCATCATCGGCTGTGATCATGGTCATGTGTGCACTCATCAGGCACAGAGAAGGGACCGTGGCCACAGGCCTGGGATGTCCCCACATGGCTTCAGCATCACCCGGTGTTGTTGCCCCTGTGCCACTAGAGCTGATCCCCACCATTTAATTAGCAGGAAACTTTGCTCTGCGGCTGAGGTCGGGGACACAACCAGGTCTAGACAGGGTAAGCCACAGAGGGAGAGGGCAAGAGAAACAAGTCCCACCATGGCCTCACACTGTTTCTCTCCCAGTTTTGGAGCAAAGGTAGAAACATTTACGAACCCCGCCTCTTTATCTAGAATCTTTTTGTAACCTTGGTTTCACTTTCATTCTTCTAATAACACATTCAAACCTTCCACACATCTTTAGGAGCTAAAACAGAAATAAACCCCAAAATACAAAAGTATTTGGGGGGGCAATACTTTTAAGAGACAAAAATGCAAATGGAAGAAATTTTATGAACCAAGATATTCTAAGCATTGATTCTCAAACTCCAGCATATGTTATAATCATCTCAAGGGTGGTTCAAGCACACCTCACTGGACCCCAGTCTCACGACTCAGCAGGTCGATATAATGGCTCAAAAATATGAGCTTTCCGCCAGTTTCTAAGTGCTGTGGATGTCACTGAGTGGAGCCCACGTGTAGAGAGCCACAGCCCAGCCGAGTGGAGAAGACCTTGGCAAAGACAAAGAGTCACGCGCTATAACCCAAGTGAGGATGCATAAAAAGAAGAAATGAAAGCAGTGGTTGACCTTGGAGAGTAGAAAGCCATTTACAAAATATTTCACTTTCTGTTTGTCGGCTGGTTGGTCTTTTGGCTGGTTTCATGTCAGAACACGTCATCAGGTGGGCTTAGGAAGAACATGTGTTGAATGGGAGGTGTGGGCATTGAACACCCTGTGGGGAGGAAAAGGCAAATTTAAATGATACCCAGGAAAACAAGATCCTGAGAACAGGCTAACTAAGGTAAGAAAGCTATAGCAGATGCTGTCCCAGCTGGAACTGATTTTGAAAAGCTACTTTTACTTATTTTTTGAAGTGTCAATATGCCCCATGCCACCCAGTCGATTGTTTTCATTGTTGTGTAATTAGATCTAGTGGAATACAAGCTTTTAGTATTATTTCACATGTTCTCATAAATAATCAACACTAGCCCTCTGGCTGAATAATGGAGTTCAGCATGCAGGAGAGGATAGAAAAGACAGAGAAGAGATCTGTGGGTGCAAAGTTTTATCAAGAATAAGATTAAAAAAAAAAAAAAACTTAGCTTGAAAAATCCAAAATATTGGAGAAAAGGCCTAAATTTACTTGATATAATCTCACAGTGGCACCCTGCAAGGGTTAGTCCACGACTGCTCATGGCTTGGTAACCAGACAGGGTTTACTTGAGCACATCAAGTGTCTGTACAATGCAATGAATGACTATTTGCATCCTTCCTCTGGGTCAAAAGGGAAGGAATAGAAAACTAAATGAGAAGAGACTGGCTTGGTGGAGACACCATGAGTGCTTAGCTATCCTCAGCCCACGGAACAGGGATGAATGGGGACAGTGCCTCAGGCCGGGCAGCTCACAAGCAAGCAGAGGAACAGGAGCCGGAGAAGCAGCCATGAGTCAAAGGGAAGTTCGCTGTCCCAGGTGATGAAATAGGAGACTTGTCTAAAACCACGTAATTTACCAGAGCAATTCCTGAGAAGTGACGGTTTTAATGTTAGGAAAAGCACGGAGGATGTAAAGACATCTAATGCATAAGAAACGAATGTGATATCAAGTTGCTCAATTTAAATAATGCAGTTTTACCTAAGAACAGTTTTTAGTCAAACAAAATATAACAAGATAAAAGATTAGAGAATGTCTGAAAGGGCTTTTTTAGTCTATGTTCCTAATAAGTTGTCTAAATGATTCTAATTTCCCTCAAGTGTTTTTATAAAGTTTGTGAGTTGAGCAATAGCTTTTCATTTCAAGTGCTAAAGAATATTTTTAAAAGAGGATAAAATCATGACTATCATACAAATATACAGCAAACAGTTCTAAGATTTATTTAATTCATTATTTAACATGGAAACTGTCAAGATACCGCATCTGGTTCAGAAGAGAAATCAAAGCAGCACACATACAGGGCCGTTAAGTAAGGTTAAAATGAATTTACAGATAGAAACAAAATCAATCGGCTTACAGAACAGCAGTTGCTGTACACGGAAAGGTAGATCATCTGCATTTTTATGAACAAGAATGATTTGCACTACTGACAGTTTTATATAACTTTTAGAATGGCAGAAAGCTCAAAGACAGAGATATGCAAGTAGACAGGATACTTCGGATTTTTGCTGTTGTTTGACCATTTCGAAGTTTTTAACAATTTTTCCTGATTTTGACTGGATGATTAGAAGAAGTGGTGCTTGTTAAAGGTCTCCTTGTCCACAAATAATGTTAAGTATTTTAAATAAATTATTCAAGCAAGTCAGAATAATGATCAGATGAGAAAGCTTACAATGTACGTTGCATGAGCAATGTCCAGATAAGTTATTTAGATTACAAGCTAGTAAGTGCCTGAGCTGAAATCTGGATTGAGGAGCGATAGATCTGAAATTCATGCATTCTGCCCTACATATTTTGAAAAAGTATTGAAAGCATGTTTGAGTCATGTATGAAGTATACTCCTTAATCTGGACAGCATTATGAAGGAGATCCTTTGGCCTACAGACACCTCTCCTCAGCATTACATGCGCTGTGATCTGTGATTTAACGACCTCAGTGGAGGCTTCCTGGTATTGGTGCTATGTGATCTCAAATTTTCTGTCATGTTACCAGATCAATGTACAGACCGAGTCTGACCACTTACTATACAGTAGGCCGATTTCTGCGTCTACGAGAACTGCAAAGAGGAAGTTTACTCATATATGAAGCAGGCGAATCTAAGACCTTCAGGGTGGTCTCGTGACTGAAGGACAAGCAGGCTTGCAAACAGGTCAGCACAGAAGGTAGGCATGGAGGGCAGGAGCCTGGGTCCTCCCAAGAGTCCCTATGACACCATCTCTGATGCACAGTGCTGTTTTCTTGGTGCAGGGCAATCCCATAGAGGGTCCAGAGTGAGACGTTAGTTTTGTGTTTTTTTTCTGAGTAAAGACAAAAGCCTCTCAGAACACCTGGGTCTCTTTGCTCTTTAGATGTTACTTGTGACTGTGTCTTGCAAAGGTTAAACAGCCAGGCCACCACAGTGTGGTCACTGCCAGACCACATCACGATGTACAGAAAGCATCTATTAATTAGGGGAATGAGGATATGAGCTCATCTTACTGTTTAATTACCTAGTACTTTAAGGAATATGTACTTTTTACCTGCTAATATTATCTTTAAGACTAAATGAAGAGAATATGTATTTACTTCCCTGGGACTGATCTCTACTGACACACATGTGAATAAATAGGAAGAAAGGAATTTAGAAATCAGAACAGTGAACCTGTTGGCTGAATATCAAGTTGCTTTTTTTTTTTTTTTTTTTAGGGTGATTTGATTAAACACCCAGAGAAATGTATAACTTCACATATGGAAGCACATTCTTCCTCATGGGTTTCTCCAGCATTGAAGAGATCGAGATCTTACATGCTATGCTATTTTTGCTAACTTACCTGGCAGCCCTACTTGGGAATCTTCTCATCATCATTCTCACAACCAGAGACCACTGCCTCCACACCCCAATGTACTTCTTCCTGAAGAATTTATCCTTTCTGGATCTGTGCCTCATTTCTATCACTGTCCCCAAATCTATCACCAACTCCCTGACAAATAATAATACCATTTCGTTTCTTGGATGTGTTTCCCAGGTTTTCTTCTTCTTCCTCTTTGCCACAACAGAGGTGGCTCTACTCACAGTGATGTCTTACGACCGCTATGTTGCCATCTGCTGCCCACTCAGGTATGGGACCATCATGAGCCACGGAGCTTGTCTGCAGATGGCCGCCTCTTCATGGGCCAGTGGGGGCGTCAACGCCATCCTGCACACGGCATCCACCTTCTCGGTACCCATGTGTGGGCCTCCGGAAGTCCATCAGTTCTTCTGTGATGTCCCACAGCTACTTTCCCTTGCTTGTTCTCACAACACAGGGGAATTAGCAGTCATTGGGCTCAGCCTGGTGTTGGACTTTGGATGTTTTATGCTTATTGCTCTTTCTTACGTTCACATCTTCTCCACGGTTCTGAGGATGTCCTCCAGAGAAGGCAGATCCAAGGCTTTCTCTACATGCCTGCCTCATCTCCTCGTGGTGACTCTATTTCTTTCTTCTGGGTTTTTTGCCTATTTACGGCCCCTGCCCCAATCTCCATCACCCTTGGATTTGCTAGTTTCAGTGTTTTACACCGTGGTGCCGCCCACCATGAACCCCCTCATCTACAGTCTGAGAAATAAGGACATGAAGGTGGCACTAAGGAAGCTGCGCACAAGTGGGTTTTGTTCTTCAAGTTAGAAGTCATTCTCGCATGCACCATATTCTTCTCACTTCCGACACAGTTATTTGAAGAATCTGGTTACATAATCTGGAAATGGTGATGGATATTCAGGGTAAGAATTCAGTAACAAATCTGGTTGTACCAATGACAGTGCTGCTGAGGCCCCCTCCACAGCAATCCAGGTGGGTGGTCCCCAGAGGCTGGATCTGTGATTGGAACCGTCATGCTGCAATCCTTTCTCCTCCATTCTCCTGGAGGGATTTTGGGCATGCACACACATATGCCTGGCCATGAATTTTAAGCCATCAGGTCCAGGACTTGAACTGTGGTTGACTACGTGGGAGTTCAGTGATATAACCATTATGCCATCTCCTTGTCCCAATATTTTCTTTTTCTTTTTTTTCTTTAAAAATAATTATTTTATTTAACTTTATTTATTCATTTTAATTTGACCAGGGAGGGACAGAGAGAGAGAGAGAAAGTGAGAAAGCAAGGCACCAGGTCTGGGAGTCAAACTGTAGTTGGCCATATGGAGGTCCATTGCTCTTAACCAACATACCACCTGCAGGCCCCAGTCCAAACATTTTCACTTCTCTTTGAGTCAGCCTTGGGAGATTGTACATTTGTCTTTGCTACCCAGTTTGTTACCAGAAAATTATTAATAACAAACTCCACAATATTTGGTCATTCAGTGTTAGTTGTAACATCTTGTCGCTTGTTTCTGATTTTATTTACTTGAATCTTCTTTCTTTTTTTTCTTAATCTAGACACATGTATTCCAGTTTCATTATTCCAAGAACCAATTGTTAGTTTCATTGGTTTTTCCTATTGTCCTTTTATCCTCTAGTTTATTTATTTCTTCTCTGATTTTTATTATTTCTTTCATTCTATGAATAAAGGTTCAATTTGTTCTTTTCTTAGTTCCTCAAGGTGTAATGAGCTGCTTCTTTGGAATTTCTGCAGTGGGGGCATCCCCCAGAGGGTTGTCAGGGTGTTCACCACTCTGTCAGTCGCCCTCTGAGCCGGCCTGCATGCGGGCATGCTTGTGCAGAGCTGTGCTCGGGTGGCTCCCTCGGGCTCTGCTGTCCCCTCCACCTTCATGCAGCCACTCATCGCCGCACTTCCTGCTAGGGCTGCCTTTGCCGGGCCCTTCATCTGGATAATGTGGTGTTTCTATTTTCATTTATCTCAAGATATTTAGGGAACCAGCAGTTAGCGTAATGGCTATGTCGCTGGACTCCCACGTAGTCGACCGCGGTTCGTGTCCCGGACCTGGTGGCTTAAAACTCACGCCGGGCGCGTGTGCGTTCATGCCCAAGATCCCGAGCGAGAATGGAGGAGAAGGGATTGCGGCGTGACCATCCCCCCTGGGGAGTGATTTCTCGCTTTCTGTCTCTATGTCTCTGTCTGTCTGGTGAGCGCACGCGCTCTACAGTGAAAATCTCTCCAAAAAATAAAAAAAAGATATTTAAATTTTTTCTTTTATTATCTTCTTTTACCTATTATTTCTTTCAGAAGCTTATTTTCAATTTCTGTGCATTTTTAATTTTTTAAAACTTATCTTGTTATGGATTTAGAGTTTCATTCCTTGAAGGTCAGTAAAGTTACTTGATATGATATTATTTTTCTTAAATTTCTAAAATTTCTATTATAGCCTAACATATTATCTATCCTAAAAAATATCCTGTGTGCGTGAAAGAAGAATGCTTATTCTCCTAGTGTTGTATATGTCTACGAGGTTGCTTCAGTGTGGGTAATCTGTCACTGCGGAAAGTTGATTATTGAAATCTGTTATTGTACTGCAGTCTAAATCACCCTTCGGATCTATAAATACTTGCTTTATGTATCTATGTGTCAATGACGGTATACAAATATTTGAAATCATTATATCCTCTTGATAACTTGACTACTCTTTCATAATGTACCTGTTTTTACAGCTAACGATTTAATGCCTGAAGTCTGTTGGTTATCATTTGCCTGGAACATATTCTTTCCTTGTTCTCACTCAGTGCCTGTGTGTCCTTGAAACTGTAGTGGGTCTTATGCAGCATATTGTGGGATCTCGTTGTTAAAATTTTTTTTTTAGTTTTATGATTTCTTATTTATATTCAATTATTGTATACATATCTATAGTACACAATACGTTTTTCAAGGTATGCATGCAGTATATTATCATCAAAGCAATTTTCAACAGAAAACTTTCCCTGAAATCACTAGTTCTCAGGAGCTCTGAAGGTGTCTTCTTCTGAAGGCCTGTCCACTTGCCTCTCCTGGGTGGGAAGGGGAGAGGGGATTATTAACAAGATAAAGGAAAAGGAGGGGCTGAGAGCAGAGAAAATGCTTTACCTTTAAAAATTTTAAAAAGGAAAATTACAAAAAAATGAGAAGACAGAGGCAGAGAGAGATAGAGACAGAGACAGAGACAGAAGGCTTGAGAGGCTTCCTACCACTCAAGTTTGTGGGCTGGAGGCTGAATTTTCAGCAGAAAATCTTCATTTCTCTTATTTCCCTGAAATCACTAGTTTTCAGGAGCCATGAAGGTGTCTTCTCCTGAAGATCTGTCCCCTTGCTTCTCCTGGGTGGGAGGGAGAGAGGGGATTATTCCATCATGACTTTTCTAATAATCCAATAGTTTACATTTCTACCAACTGAATATGGGAATTCTCCTTTCTCCATAGATTCACCAGAATTTGCTGGTTTTTGCTTGTTTGTTTGTCTTTTTGGTAATAATCCTTTCAGTCACTATCTCTTAATTAGAGGATTATGTGTTTAGGTCTGAAGGAATTATTGGTCATAAGGACTTTCCACTGATGTCTTGTTATTGTGCTGCTGATGGTTCTGTAATTATTTCCCCCTTCTTCCACGCTTGCTGTCTTTGTCTATCGTGGTGGATCCATGGTGTGTGCATTGACTCCTTCCTGTTTACTTGTGTATAGGCTACAGGAACTTCTCTTTGGATGCCATGAGGCTTACCCCAAACGCCTAGCAGATGTGATGTCCTGACTGAAAGTGCTAGAGCCTAAGCTTCATTTACTTACAAACTGCAGTTTTATCATACTTCTAGCTCCTCATTTTCTATGCTATTGATGTCATATTTTACATTTATTTATATCATGTATGTGTTAACAAATTGTTATAGCTATAGTAGTTTATAATACACTTAGATTTTAAATGTTGTACTAGAATAAAGAGTGATTCAGATACCAATTTCATAATATTACTCTGAATTTGACTGTAAATTTATCTTTTTTCTTTTTTAGTTTTGTTATAAGGCTTGATCTGTAGATTCACTTTTACCAGACAGTTTTATTTCACATGTTCTCATACTATTGCTTACTGTCTTTTTGTTTCAACTCAAAGAAATCTACATAGCATGTTTTGTGCACCAGTCCCATTGCGATAAACTCTCTCAGCTTCTGTTTGTTTTGCAATGTTTCTGAAGGACAGCTTTGTAGGGTATAGTATTGGTAGTTAGCAAGTTATTTATTTATTTATTTTTTAAATTTTTGCACATGTGCTCACTAAAGAGAGAGCCCCCATCATGGGGCATAGTCATGCCACAATCCCCTCTCCTACCTTTCTACCACCTGTTAGGATCTGGACTCTCAGGCCCACCTGGGTGCCTTTTGGTGCTTTCCAAGACCCCAGAGCTGGGACTAGAACTACATGATCAGCCATGTGGACTGCAGGTGCCTTGCCACCAGGCCACATGCTAGCTTTTGATTTGTTAATTTTAACACTTTGAATATGTCCTCTGATTTTCTCCCAGTTACTGTTTAGAAGTCCAGTGATATTATTATGTGAGACTTTTAATATGAGGGAGTTTCCAAAATGTTTATGAAGCAAAATACATATTATGAAAAACCTATGCATAAATGTCAATTATTTTTTACCAAAATGAATTTGTACTTTAATTCCACTTTCTATGACCCTTTTGAAGTCATCTTGATACGACACATTTCCTCTCTCTTGCTGTTTTCAAGATGCTCTTTTTCTCTTTGATATTTGACAATTTGATTGTAATGTACTTGGGAATATTTGTTTTTAAAATAATCTTGCTTAGAATTCTTTGAACTTCCTAAATTTGTAAGTGCATACCATTCATAAGATATTGGAGGTTTTCAGACATTCTTTCTTTTTCTTCATACTATAATTTCTGACATATATATATATATACACACACACACACACACACACACACACACATTTATCTGATCTGTGTCTTTGTGAGATAATTTTTTTTAGTTTTTTTTTTTTCATAAAGCATGTGGGCTCACTGGAAGAGACAGAGAAAGATGGTGAGAGGGAAAGTGAGGATTCAACCCCCAGTGGTGTGGAGTGGTCACACCACAAAATTTTCTCCTCCATTCTCTTGGAGTTTTGGACATACACATAAGAATGCCTGGCATTATTTTCAAGCCACTGGGTCCAGGACCCAAAATATGGTCCACCATGTTGGAGTCCAGACCTTAACCATGACACCACCTGTTAGCCCTGTGGGCTAAGTATTTTCTAAGGCATGCATACAGTGTATAATAATAAAATCTAAGATATATACCAATTCCTCTTCAGTATGAACATTACATCATATTGTGCACATTTGTTAAGAATTTTACTAGGTGTTTTTTGGAATATGTTTTAAATAGTCCATATTTTGTTTTAACTGCCAGCGGTTACCTGTGCTCACCAGACATAGAAAGAGGAGAAACTCCCCCCTGCTATGGTACAGTTACTGCCATGACCCCTTATCCTTCATTTCTCCATCCTGTTAGGATTTGGGACATGCTTGTATGCTTGCTTGGCTTGTTTTCTAAACCACCATGGCTGGGATTCAAACTGTAGTCAATCATGTGGAATCATTCCTTTACAATTAAGCTACAAGTTGGACCATAAATCGCCCATATTTCCACTCTGCTGTGGTACACCCACCCAGAGCCTCCTCCCTTTATTTACATGTATTCTCCTGTTTATTGATTAAAGGTAAATAAAAAACTAAGTAAAAGGACTCAGACTCAAG